GCGTGGCGGCTCGGCCTCGCTAAGGGCCAGCGAAGGGGTCGGTTTGGCCTTGAACCTCCTGGGATCCTGCGCCTGGCGGCGAGAGGACGGCGAAGGCGAGAAAAGCCCTGACGCGGCAGAGTCCGGCCCGGGGGGAGGTTCTTGACCCGCTCGCGCCAGCCCGACGCTGCCAGGGCTGACCACGCACCGACCCGAAAACTGCTGGTCTTGGCTTAAAAAGCCCCAAATCCTTTCTGTGAAAGAGGCGGCCGGGTTGAAATTCTTTCTGAATGCCGGGCAGAGATCAAATTCCCTCGTCTTTGTCCAGAGCCCAAACGCGAGTACTTCTAAAAATAAAATGGAGGAGCGATTGCAGCCCCCCGCGAGGCGACGCGGTCCGAACGCTGCCAGCTCCAGCGGTTCCAGCTCCGCAAACCCAACCCGGTTACCCTGAGCGCCACGGACTTCTGTTTTTTTTCCCCTCTTCTTCTGAAGGGGAAGTTTGTTTCGCAGCTGAAGGGACTTTTTGGCAAAACCGGCCCTTTTTCAGGGGAAGGCTGGAGAGAACGGAGCCTGGAAGGCACAACGCAGCGTTTATACACGCTACAGCTGGCGAGCTCCTCGAATTTACAAAGCAGCAGCACCAATGTCAGGCACAAGGTAAAAGCCGAAGCTGACGGAGTCCCTCACACCCGTCCACGCCTCTGGGCATCAGAAGAACCAGCCTGGAATGACTTTAAGGCTGTCTCGAACCCTCTAACACAGGTTTTTAGTTCAGACAGACCCAAACTGTCGGTGTTCTGGGGAAGAGAAGAAAAGAACGCAGCGAGGAAACGCTGAAGTGATTGATAACCAGGACCTGAGTCTCTCCAAACGTCGATTCATAAAAAATAATTATTAAAGCCTTCTTCAAAATACCTTTTGGAAAGATTTTCAGTCTCGCCTATAAATACAGCTGCACTGGCTATAAATAGATGCCCTTCGATTCTCAAAACCCAGCAAGTCTCACCAAGCCCTTCCAGGAAGTCACAAAAACCTTCCTCTCCCACCGCTCGCCGGCGAACCCGCCCGGGGAAACACCCCGACACGCTGCCCAAGGCGGGATTTCGGCAGCTCCCACTTTCCTTTCACCCCAACCACCAGGAACCGACCGTTTTGGGGATGAAAAGCGGGTTCCTCCTGGGGTGGGAAATTCCCTCAGAGCCGTGACGCTGCGCTCGTACCGTTATGACCTCGTCAGTCCGTGTCACGTCTCTGACGTCAGGACACGGGCCGACCTACCGGCAAAGAAACGCTAACAAGGGCAGTACCTGATCCAAGAGAAACCCCTGTTATCTGGACACGCACAGAAATAATACGGAAAAATGCGGTGCAGGGACCACAACGTCGAATTACGACCGTGAATCCCGCCAGCGGTCACAAAACTGGGACAAAAAATCCCCAACAACGCGATGACCTACGGGCCGGAGGAGCTGTGGGCTCTTCCTGGCGAGCCGATCCTCTCGGAGAGCAGGCGAGCTGCTGGGGCCGCTCCTCGCCCCTCCAACCTTCTCAGGACCGATGGCACAGCTTCGTGACGGTGTTTTTCTAAACTTTACTTGTTCACGGCATTTTTCTAACCTTCAGCGATAACCTTCCGCCATCGAGCCCCACGCCACGGCTCGGGCCTTGAAACCCGCCCTGCCCCCGGCGCCAAACGGGCCTGCAAAGAGCAAAAAAGCCGCGAACGTTTCAGTGACGAGACCAGCTGCTTGTTAAAAAAAGGTTAAAAATAAAACCTGTTTAGTAAAAAATAAAGGATTCGTGTCACCACAGCCAACCCGACCGGGCCGCCGCCCGCGCGGCTTCGCGCACGTCACCGGGGAACGCCGCCGTTTGGCGCCAACCCCTCAAACGGAACATTTGCCCAAAGATCCCACCCCGGAGGAGGAATTTTCTTTTTTGCGAGCCCTTTCGGGCAGCCAAAGGCTCTAAACGAAGAGCTGCCCCGGCTTGTTCGTGCCACAAGGAGGGCGAAGCGCGGGACTCCCCGACGGCACGCGAGGCTCCGGCCGACCCGCTCAGCCCGGCCTTTGCTCTTGCACCGAAGGTTGCCTCGATCAAAAAGATCGATGGCTTTGGGAGAAGAGGAATTTGTAACTCGCTTTCTGGCTGGAGGGGAAAGCCCCTCCGCACCTCTGAAGGTTTCAGAGCAACACCTCAGGAGACCCCGGGCGTCTTCTGAAGGGCCAGACCCGGTGCCTCGACCCCGCAGGAGGGAGCGAACGGCTCGGGTCACCGCAGGACGTCTGGGCTCGGAGCGGTCACTGCCAACACCGGCCGCTCTGGCAACGAGGTCTTTCTCTTCCACTCCCCGCCGACGCAGGTACTGCCATCGCCAAGTGTCACTCGCTGGCTCAACGTTTCGTTCCAAAGCTCCCACCTCTCAGGGTGAGGCTTTAAAAGCACCTTCCGGCACCGCGGGGAAAGCAGAGTTACGTTGCGAGAGGCTGGAGAAGCTTCTAGCCCCGGCGACGGGGGCGGCTTTGACAACAGCCCTCTGCTCTCAGCCCCGCCGGCCAACAGCACCTTATTTAACAACGGGAAAAAAAAAAAAACAAAAAAAAAAAAAAAAAAAAAAAAGTTATTTTCCTTTACAAAACCCAGTCGGTCGCTGAGGATTAGGAGGTTACAGTTTCCACGGCGATATCAGTCGGCTGATCCGTTTCCAGCATGGACAGCACGGATTCCTTGATGTCTTCCGAGGTTACCACGAGCGGGTCAACCTCGGCGACCTCTTCGAGCACCGTCACCTCCGCCCCGTTGGGCTGCTGCCTCGCCATGGCTGCCAGCTTCAGCCGGTACTCCTCCGCCTCTCGCTCTTTCTTCAAGAGCTGGCTGCGATACTCCTGAGCCTTCCGGTTCGCCTCTTGCAGCTGCTGCTCCAGCGCTTCCCTTTCGACGCTGTCCTGCAGAAAACAAGAGCTGAGGGGCCCCGCCACGGAGCCCAGCCCGCGACACGAAGGGAGCGGGGCCGGCAAACGCTCCAACGGTTGGAGGTACGACAGCAAAGCGCGCTAGGAACGGGCTGGGGTCGCGCTGTGTTCAACTGGCTTCTCCTCCCGGGTTACCAGAGGCAACTGGGACACGGGGAGGCACGAACTGGGAAGTTAGGTGCGATCTCACCGTGACGAACGTCAAAGGGTGGAAGCGGGTGGAGCAAGACACAAGGACACAAAGGGCTGTTAGCGCCGAGAGGCAGCCGAGAACGTTCTTCCTCCCCCACAGAGCGACGGGAGAGTCGCTCCCGCTGCTTTAGGAAGAGCCGAGGCCACGCGTGGTGCTTCTACAGGAAATCCTCAAGAATCTCCGTAAACGACCACGCTTCATCTAAAAACCTCGAGTTTCACGGGTTTGCTGCCTCTTCTCCTCCTGCCCCCGCTCCACGGAGCATCGCTCCTCTCCGCCGCCCGCGTGTCCGTCGCTAACGCAGGAGCACGGGCGGGAAGAGCAGGGAACCCCCGAGCCCTCTGGGACAGAGGCACCCCCGGGCTCAGCCCAGCAGGGTGCAGCTCGCTTCTATCCGAGATGGCTCCGTCTGGGAGCCCGACATCCTCAGCGCAGCAGAGGAGCACGCAGGAGGCGACGGGAATCAAAGCTACGGGCGGGAGGGTCTACCTTGGCTTCCTCCGAGTCATCTACACTTTGTTCCACTTTTTGCTTCTTGGCCGCCGGCTTCTCCTCGCCGTCTGCGTCACCTCCGTCTTCAACAACAGCCTCTTCTGCCACCTGACCAGCAGGGACAGTTAAAACTGCAAAATTAGAAGGTGACAAGTTAGACGGCGCGAGACGTGGTTTCGCACAGATGTTTCCCCAAAAGGCTTCTCCGAAGTGAGGGCGCCACGCGGTTCTGGAGAGAGCAGGAGACCTGTGGATCGGCCATGCCCAAGTCTTCCCGGAGAGGAGAGAAACTCGGGACCGGGCTTCTGGTTTTCTTTATTCAGGCCATTGAAATACCCGAGTATTTCACCACAACGAGGCCGACAGGATCCAAAATCAAAGGATTTGCCTCTTAGAAAACACGTGAGGCAAAACCGCTCACCCTGATGCCTCAGTAACGCCACGAACGGCCGAGACAGGCCAAGCAAGTGGAACAGAAAGCTCTTCTCGAAAATTCCCAGCCCCGGTGGCTAAGCTCCGAATCAGCTTTACGCGCAGGCAGAGCCGCAAACGCGCCAGAGAACAAACACTTTTTAAATCTGCAAACACGGGCTTCGCTCGGGGAAGGCAGGAGCAAGAATTCGTCCAACGAAGGAGGAGAAAGGCACCACGTGAGCCGCTGAAGGCAGCGCTACCTAAACAGTTCTCCCTTTGTCTTCCTCCGACTGAGAACGGGTTACAAGCCAGGAATTATTTGTAGTAATTTGGCAAATAATTCTGAATAATTAACAGCTTTGGAAAATTGCTTTTCGCTCGTGAAGCCGGTAAACAAGACAGAGCCGCTGTGACCCATCTCACGTTGCAGCGCTGCACGCGTGGGCCAGGAGAGCTGCTCTGCCTCCTAATCCTCTTTCTCTGCGCCCCCGTTAATCCAAATCACCGAGCGTCCCCAGGACACGCCACAGGAGCTGCCGGCAGCCGGCAGGCGGATGAATTGCATCCCTTGAGGAAAGGCAAATTCCCTGTATCAGCGCCCTGGAGCTCTGCCCTGTTTTACTGAGCACGATTCACATTTGCCTTGTAAAAGCGAGGGAGCACGTTGCCCCAGGCCGCGTTTAACCCGCGTCACGGAGGAGAACGGGTGTTTAAGCTGATATTAACGGCCTCACGCTAAGTTTTACAAGGACGAGGGAGCGAGGGCTGAAGGCAACAGGCTGCAGTTTCATCGGGCGAGTGATTTACTCCCAGGGAGTCGTCTTTGCCCGGCTGCCAAAAAGGCAACTTGGCATTTCTCCTCCCGCAACGCTCCACTGAAGGCGTTGGGTTCTCCTGCAAAGCCCAAGCTACGAGAGCGCAGCGGCGCGCAC